GCGGGCCTCCCCCTGGGCGCCCTGCCACTGCTCCCCTCCACAGGCCAGGCACCTCGGGAGCTGGGCTTCTTTCATCCTTCTAGCCCTCTTCCACCCATGGGCCCCATCCCGTGCCCAGTACCACTGGGGAGGCAGAAGGAGCCATGTACTGGACCCCCAGGCCTATGTCATGGGGTGCCCACTGCACCCCCTCACCCCCAGCTCGGCACAGAGAGGGGCTCCTAGCACAGCCCTGGCATGGCAGGGCACTGACCTGCTCCCTCTTGTCCTTGCAGGAAGGTGAACAAGTGCTACCGGGGTCGCTCCTGCCCTATTATCGTGCACTGCAGGTACTGCTGGGGCTGGCTTGGGGATACAGCCTGGGGGTGGCTGCAAGACTGGGACCCGCTGGCCAGGACCAGTTCCTGGAGCTGGTCCTTCTGCTCCAAGTGTCTGTGTCTTGCAGTGATGGTGCAGGCAGGACGGGGACGTACATCCTTGTTGACATGGTCCTGAACGGAATGGCCAAAGGTAGGTGCAGGGCAGCATCGCTCCCCCCCATCCTGGGGAGTGCAGAGCCATGTGCTTGGCCTGTGGCCCCCCTCTCCTAGTGCTCTTCTCCCCCTCTGCCCCAGGGGTGAAGGAGATAGACATAGCTGCTACACTGGAGCACATCCGAGACCAGCGGCCTGGCATGGTGCAGACCAAGGTACTTCCTTCCCTCCCTGAGCCACCCCACTCCCAGTGCTGGGCTGGCAGAGACCCTCATGCCCCCTCTCCTCTGGTTCCCCAGGACCAGTTTGAGTTCGCACTGACAGCTGTGGCTGAGGAAGTGAACGCCATCCTGAAGGCACTGCCACAGTGATGGCGAGGAGCCCTTCCCTCTCGTCTTCCCCCCACCCGCCCTGCTTCGCGTGCTCTCTTTGCCCTGCCTGTGGGGCCGCTTTCCCTGTAAAATGCTGTCTGCGCTGCTGGCTCTGTTTCCCCTGCCAGACCCTCCCTTCCCCTCTCCCCAGACACACAGGGCTCAGCCCCTCTGCACACAGGGCACTGAAACCATCACATCTCCGGCCACTGCAGAGGGGACAGGGTTTGTATCCCCTAGTCCCTGCATAGAAGAGGTCCAGCTGATGGTGCTGGGAGTTGGCTATGGTGACCCTCAAGCTGCTCTCCTGCCGCCCAACCTGGCAGTCCTGTGTCAGCTCCTTCCCTGTGCCTGTGGAGTGGGCAGGGGTCCCCCACAGCTGGGGGGAGCACTGAGTGCAGGGAGGCCTGTCCCAGCCCCTGGTCCTCTCTGTGTGTTCCCGCCTCATCACTCAAGCAGAAGAGAAATTTCTAGAGAAATATAATTTTGTATCTTGACGTGAATAAAGTTCTCGTGTCACGTTTGTGCAGCTGCAGCCAGGCCTGGCCTCTGTGTGTATGGGGGGCAGGGGGAGTCATTGGTCATTATCCACTTACACCCCTACAGAAACACATCCCACACCCCACAACCACCAGACAAGTGAAGCAGGGACCCTCTGCCTGTGAAGGATGTGGGGGAGACCCCTGCACCCCCCAGCCCAGAGACACCTCCAGGCA